CAAAACCATTGGACAAAGCCTCTGGTTCACTTTGATGCCTATTTCCATCATGGGAGCAGCTTTCAAGCTTGTTCTCTTGATTCAGGTTTACCTCTCTTTCTCTGATAGGCAAAAGATCTGTTGTGGGCTGTGTTGGGTAAACTTGGGTTTCCAGAGGAATGGAGTTAATGAGCGTATCTGTGACAGCACATGCTTGGTTTTCTTGAAAATGAGAGCTTGACAGCACAGCACCAGCGCTTTCGGGTACCTCTTTCCCCACACCCTTTTGGTCGAAAGGCAGCGAGCGGGGAAGAGAGCAGTCCTTCCCGTGCAGTTTCTGGGGACCATCCATCTCCAAGGCAGAGCCTACCAGACCATCAGCGTGCAGCAGAGCACAGGGTCTCGCCGCCCCTTCTCTTTCAGGTGGTCCATAGCTACTCAAAACACCATCGGGGAGGTGGCGGTGACCGTCCCTGACCGCCTCCATTGGCGCAGCCCCGCAGTGATGCAGTGAGAGAGGAAAGGTGGGTGCCCTTTTCCACGTCCCTTGCTCTGCCGGGCTCATGGTGGGGTGGTGGATGCGGTGGCCGTTGGCCTCGGGAGGACACCTCTTCGTGACGAATGAACTTGATGCCTTAAGCAGGGACATGCAATATTTCTTCTCATCCGAGAGTTGAGTGCCAAAGCCGGGGACCTCTCCTCCCTCGGCCCCACCGCTTTGCAAGCACTTGGGGTGAGAAAAATTGGTTGGCAAGGGCAAGCTGGCCGGAGATTCACCCGCGTAGTGGCAGCCATTGAGGGATGACTTCTTGCCATTTCCCTCTCTGGGAACCTTTGCACTGACGGCGCAGGCTTTTGCCTCCGGCACCAAGCGGTGATCCTGAAGGACCTCCTCCTTGGAGGGACCCGGCGGGCTGGTGGGACTCGCAGGAGCACTGCGTAGGGGCCGTGCCCCCTGCCCCACCTCATTTCTTTTCGGGCTCTCTGCTGCTGCACTGCCCAGCGTTTCTTTCTCAAGCAAACTAAGGCTTAAATGGGATTGCTCATGTTTTTTAAATGCCAAGGTTGCTTTGTTTTTATCTTGCTCCTTCTCTTCCACAAGCTGATCAGCTTGCTTTCCTTGCCCTAGCAGTGGGGTCACCGCTGTGTTTTTGAGTGACGAGAGGTCATTACACTCTCGGGAAACACCATCTGCACGGATATTAATGTCATTCGGCTCCGCATGTTCATTTGCTAAGTGCTGCAGCTCCGTCACATTATTTTGCAGCTCTGGCTTCGCAAACGTGGATTGTTTTGCATGGTAAGAGCCCATCGCGCCGAATGACTCCAGCTGTTCGCATCCACTGGAGGAAAGCACAGCCTCTTTCGCTGGGGCAGCAATATTTCCCGCGTTGCCTCCAGTGGGGATGTTTCCCTCCCCTTGGGCAGGGCAGTATGTTCGATTTTCCCCTTCCAAGGCACCGCCGCTCTCCTCTTTCTGCTCTGGCTGGGCGCGGGCGGTGGCAGAGGGGTGGCTGGGAGCGAGCAGCACGGGGAAGCATGGCATCAGCAGCTCCTCTTCGTTGCTCTTCACTGTTCGGGCAACGAAGAGCTGGAGCTGCTGCAGGGGGTTGGCAGCTGTCTCCTGGGATGCCAACATCTGCCGGGAGCCGCAGTCTCTCTCCTTGGGCAGACTCAGCATATCGAACAGCAGCACTTTTTGCTTGCTGGCTTTGTCACCGGGTGCAGGGGCTGGATAGCTGATGGGGCTCTTCCTCTCCTCCGTTTCTTCCATCAATGCAGACCCACCACCATCCCCTTTAAAGTCCACGGTGCTTTTCACCATTTTGGGTGACTTGGGCTTGCTTAAGGGTCTTTCTTCTGTATCTGAGACCTCTTTGATGTGAGGCGAAAAGGCGAGATCCAAGGCTGGGGTGGGACCTTGCTGAAAGCCAAATTCAGGTTTATGGTTTGGAAGATGGGCATCAAACTTCTCCAGCTCTGCAGCACCAGTGAATCTTTCATCTGCTTTCCCCAGCACCGGGAAGCCCTCGGCATCGTGCTGGCATGGCAGGGATGGCAGGGGATCTTTGGTCATTTCTGCTGCCTCCAGGGTCTTGGGGAACACAGAGTCGGTGACAACAGGAGGGCTTTTTGTCACGGGGTCTGTGTAGGTGGGAGCCTGTGATTGATCTGGTGTGCATGAACCAGGTAGACTTTTGGAGGAAGACCCATTTTCCATCTTTCTGAGGTCACTTTCCTTGGCAGAGGCAGCTCCCTGGAGCTGCTCGCTGCCATCTTTGGAGCAAAAACGGCCCGTGGCGAGCGGGGCTGGCGTGCACATCCCCGCCTCCAGCGAGCCCAGCTCCACCGGGCAGGGCCAGGGCTCCCTGGGTCTCTCGTAGTCCCCACGGCCGCTCGTGACGGCCGACTTCTCGCCTCCCAGCCTCTCCCCAATGCAAAGGCTTGAATTGCCCAGCTCATCTCCCAAAAACAGTCCTTTCTCATGGCCCGTCTCTTGCTCGACCGGCAGCGGTGGGAACTGCTCGGCCACTTGTCCTTGCAGATGGGCAGCGACGTGTTGCTCGGGTTTCTGAAGGGTGACGGATGCCTCGTTATCCAGCTTGCTGGTTTGCAGTTGACTTTCCAGCTCTGTGACTAATCGCTTGATCTCCAGCTCATCGTCTGATACGTTGTTCATAAAAGTCACGTTATAATCCGTTATCCTGTCTGGCAGTGGCAGGGAGAGTTGGCTGGTGGGGACAGGTCCTTCCTCGGGGAATTTCTTGGCTAGTGGCTTCTCCACTGAGAGGCTGTGGAACTGAGTCATGTCTTCTGGCAGCATCGGAGCCACCTCCTCCATGAGGGACCAGTCTTTCTCTGCCATGAACGGTGGATATGGTTGCTCGAACGGCAGCGGCTTGCTGGGTGGATTGCCAGGACAGGTGAACGTTGTCACATAACCATCTTTGCTTGCAGAAACGCTCTCGTACAGTGGCGGATCAAACTCGGTGACGGGAAGCTCTCCAAATATCGAAGAGGAATCGAAGCTGAGAGGGGAGGACACCTTGCCCTGTGGCGCTTCTGTGGCGTAAGGGGAGATGCTGGCATGCTTCTGCTCAAAGGAGCCAGCGTTGATGTCATCCCGGCATAAGTACATGTCATCCATGTGCGAGGAGCCCAAGGCTGGGGGCTTTGAGAAGAGGTTGTCATTGTAGTGACCGGGAAGGCCTTTGGGATCAAAAAACGTGTTGTTGCTGCTGACATATGGATCAGGCGCCTTGGCAGTGAGCATGATCCCCACTGCATCCCCTCCGTATGGGGCAACCGGTGTGGGATAGTCCTTCTGAGCATCACAGAACCCATGTGCCTTCAAGTATTTGCTGCCTGTTTCCGGGTAGGTGGCACTCACGTTGCCAGAACTAGCTTCGTTACCGCCGTGGGATGGAGCAATTAGCTCTTCTGCATGGTACTTCAGCGCGTCACCCGCAAAAGGGGAAAACTGATGCCTCTGGTTGACCATGGTCGGCTTGGGTGATGCCTGAGCCTCCAGTGTGGGTTCTCCTGCCTCACCCGTGTGCTTTGCTCCTTTGGGCTCTTCTGCCCCCTCCTTACAGGACAACCTGGTGGGGCTCCTGCCCGCGGCCTCCGTGCCGGGCAGCTGCTTTTCCCGGGGCTGCGGTAATGGCTCCTCCTTTGCACAATCCGTTGCAGCAACATCTGGTTTGGTACTCGGACGTGTCCTGGAGCCTGCTACCGAAGGTTTGGCCGAGCCAAACCGCCTGCTCCCCCTGGAAAAGTCCTCTTTGCTCTTCTGGCTCTTCTTTGGGCTCCTGTCCTCGGGAAGGCTGAGCGGAGCCCTTGGCGCGCGTGCCGGGCTGCCCGAGCGCCTCCTCCTCCGTGTGCCTCCCTTCTCGCTGCCCGAGCCAGCCCCGCCAGCGCGGGGTGGGCTGGTGCCCACCTCGCTGGGCCCGCTACCACTGTGGTTGCTGCCGGTCGACGACTCGCGTGACCTGTCTCCG